AGCTTTACCATCAATGTTATCTGATGGAAGAACTCCTGCCAGGAAAATTGCAGGGCTGTCCGATGATTAATTCATCTGGTCTGATGCTTTTATCCAAAGAGACTCCCTCTTGTATTCTTGTATTTATACAGTTGAGGATTTTACTGGAGCAATCTGAATAATGTACCTTGCCCAAGGGCATAGCAGTAGTGCCTCACCCAGGATTAGTGTCACCCTCTTTAAGTTATTTTCATATAACAGAATCATTTATAATAATTGGGTGGCACAGTGGTGCAGGTTCTAGCATTGCTGCCTTGTCTGCGCTGGGGCCCTGGGTTTAATTCCAGAACTGCGGTGCTGTCTTCTTGGATTTTATATGTCCTCTCCGTGTTTCCAGGGGTTTCCTCTGGGGGCTGCGGTGTCCTCCCTCAGTCCAAAAACAAGCTGGTGGGTTAATTGGTTTCTGGGAAAACAGGACCTGGTGTGAGGGCATGAGTCTGTGCCTGTGCTTGTGTCTGCCTGCCCTGTGATGGACTGGCGTCCCATCCAGGGTGTATCCTGCCCTGCACCTATTGCTTGCTGGGATAGGCTACGGCTCCCCCACAGCTCTGAATTGGAAGAAGCAGTTAAAAAATGAATGAATGCATGGATTTATTATATATATTAATAAGATAGGATTATTTTCATTTAATGACTGCAGTTTTTGTTGCACCAGATATATGATGCACCTATTTTTTTCCGACATCCGTCTTTGAGCTGAGCAGACAGAACAGTGAGCAATGAAGAAGCTGGAAACAGAATGCTTGTGATTCATGTTTCCGGACGAGAGTGAAGTACCAGCATCCCACTACATTTGTCTGTGATGTTTACAAATGAAATAGCCAGGTTCCTTGTAAGTCAGGCAAGCTGTATCGCTTTTTGTGTTTTTGTAAAGGGGGCAGAGAGTTCCTGTAAGTTGTTTTCTGGAAGCCATGTTGCAGTGCTAGCAGCAGGTGCTGGAGATCTGGAAGGGGGGTGAAGTCTGCTTCTTTCTCAACATGTGGGTGCACTTATTTCCATCCTCAGGGCAGCCTGACATCAGTCCAGGGGTTGTATCTGCCGTTCCTGTGGCTGAGAGGGACTTTCCAGAGCAGACTCTCTCCAGGAGTGGACAGCAAGATATCTGAATGGCGGTATTCCACTGGGCCAGCTTATTCAGAAAATACCTCATCACTCACCAATTGATCACACGCCCTTCCTCTGCTCATGCCTCTTCCTGGAAGGCCAGGCATCCAGTCTGAATTGCTAGTGTTTCCCGGCTTCCTTCTCATAAGCTTCTGAATGGTGCTGTGTACAAGTGCTATCAGTGGCAAGTCCCATCAAAACTCCTGGGACAACACTGCACTGGAAACTAGTGCCGATTCCTGTAAATTACATCAAACCCTTCACTTTCCTGGGTTTTTCACTTACTCTCTTCCATGAGCTGAGAATAGATATTGCTTCACTATTCTGCATACATTACAACATAGACTTACTGTATAATTGAACTGCTCTGCACCCATGGCAAGGCTTATGCAAGAGCATGTGAATTGTGAGAAATGACTTACAGTACATTAAGGAAGAGCAGAACATTGCCTTTGAAGTCTTCCATGCGCTACATCACCTGGCTCTTGGAGTTAATTTGTGATGCAACACTATGTCACTCATTCTAAAACACATGATGCAACGGCCCTCCATCTGTGCAGGTCATGATGGATAAATCAGACTCAGCTTACTGCTCTGATCAGTGCAAAGTTGTCGCCATTTTCTTGCAAACAGATGCAACAGTGAATAGAGGACTAAATGGCTGTTTTCACATGTTCCGAGAAGTTGAGGCTCTGCCCCTGGCCTTCAAACTTTGCCATCTTTTAAAGATATTTTAAAATGCTGTTCTTTAAAAAACAAATGTGTGAGGGATCTTTTAAATATTCACTACTGTACATTTCTAAAAGCCTGTTGTGGTGCAAAGGTTTGATTCAGTTTGGTTCATTACAATGTTTCGGCATCCAAAGGTCAAGCTAGGGTTACTCGTGCTGGTTCTGAATGACTCTGACTGTGTGCCACTAGTCTGTAAAATGCTCCCTGTGTTCTTGTGCTTACACTCTTCTTTGTGAATATTTTAAATGTAGTTCTATAAATAGCTACCCATTTGCCAGCCTTTCTTTAACCCATTTTACCCACTGGTACTGTAGGAACAGCCCTCTCAACAGCCTACAGTACTTTGTTTCTGATAAAGCAGGTTGATGCCATTAACTGAACTTCATTTTTAATTTACAGACTGGAAAGTTTTTAATAACTGGAAAGTACTAGGATGTGCTTTAAAGTTCAGTCAAATTATTTATAACTCTTTGCCTTATCCTTCCAGACAGTTATCTGTGGTTATAAAGAATGTGAGCCATGATGTGTGGATGTGTCACAGGAATGCTAAAGAAAGTCCTTGGCTGGATAGTCTTTCTCTGTGTTATGGCTTTCCCTGTTATATAATAAATACAGGTACTCGTGAACACACTGTTCACACACATTTTCCCTGCACTAGCAATTCTGTTTTTTCCAGAGCAGACAGGTCAGAAAGAAGCCTTCTTAGTCTCCTCAGTCAGTGTCTCTCAGGGTCTCTCACTGTCTCCCCAGTCTTCAGTGTCTCCCCAGTCTTCAGTGTCTCCTCAGTCCTCCGTGTCTCCTCGGCCTTCAGAGTCTCTTCAGTCCTCAGTGTCTCCTCGGTCTTCAGTGTCTCTTCAGTCTTCAGTGTCTCTTCAGTCTTCAGTGTTTCCTCAGTCTTCAGTGTCTCTTCAGTCCTCAGTGTCTCTTCAGTCCTCATTGTCTCTTCAGTCCTCAGTGTCCCCTCGGTCTTCAGTGTCTCCTTGGTCTTCAGTGTCTCCTTGGTCTTCAGTGTTTCCTCAGTCCTCAGTGTCTCCTCAGCCCTCAGTTATAGTGCAAACACCTTGAAGGAAGCCATGTGGAGAGGCTGGTACTGTCTGTAAATCTGTCCTGATCTCATCTCACTAGGAGGGAAAGTGTTAACACATGAAGGAAGCAAAGCCAGGAAAGGGGAGAAGCTTAACATTACAGTAGCTGTGTGTTTTTGCCACATGTTTAAGGGAGACATTGGTGAGTCCACCCGTGCTGCTCAGAGAAAACATGATGTTCTCAATCAGTAACTGAATCATCATTCAAAATCTATGTTGTATTGGAGAGCAACCAGCACTCAGCATTTTTGTTTACTAAATCACAGCATAACATTTGCAGGGCCTGTAGTTCCGTTGAAGAACACATAATCCCAGGGTTGTGCGTGGAGGACACTCTGTGTCTTTACCAGGGCCTGTTGTAGCCTTGTCCAATTACGCCATGACGAATAAATTGGTCTTACATTGTAGCTTGGGCCCCTGTCAAACCCCAAACCTCAACTTATCCAGCAGCCGCAAAGTTCAAACCTGATATTTGACAGTGGGGTTCTGTTGACTAGAAACAAGAAACCTCTGGCAGCCTTTTCGAAGTGAATTTGCAGAACAATGACTGTACAGCTAAAACTGTTCTCTGGTAAACGAACTGCTTTCTGATGTACTTCTGTCTACCCTGTGCAAGTATTGGAATCTGTAGCTGTGGTTTAAATATTTACTTTCTCCTTAAATTGAATACAGTGAGGATGGAAAGTTTAAGGGAAGAGCTTTTTTTTTCTCTGCTTTTTAAAAATGAATAGGCCTGTCACTAGCCAACATGCATGTTTCCAGAGAATAACTTCCCTGTGTGGCATGACAGCTTTGAGCATCAGATTGCCTGTAGCGCTGGGCTAGTTCATTCTGTTCACATGCTGTCGGTTTACTTGCTGCTCATTATCAAAAAAAGAATGCAATCCTGATATATAATGCACAGGCAGACTCTTGTCCTCATCTGAAAGAGCAGCACCAGTCTTAGTGTGTTTAGTCACACTTTAACTGTTGATTCTCAGTGTTTAACTACAGTTCACTGTTTTTTTCACAGCATACTTAGCATCTATAACAACTTGATATTAGTATTTAACCTTGATTTCATAATACAGATTTGTTAGAATCAGTAACCCAGCCCATCCCCATTCTACTGGTCTCTTGTAGAGGTCTTCTGGAGTCCGAGACCAGCAGCAGCGTTATCAACTTGTAGCCTGAGCATTTTGTCAGCATTTTATGAGATGTGTCCATGTGAAAACATAACCAGTTTAAACATAAATAAGCGTTTCTTGTCTTGTTTTCACTTTCAATACCCAAATGGTTGCAGGAATAAGTTACAAGCTACTCAGTCATGATGTTGAAGCCAATACCCTGGATTATTTCAGGAAACAACTGGATGAGATCCTTGGCACGATTAACTACTCATTATCAAACAGGCTTGATGGCTTCCTCTTGTTTGTAACGTTTTTTAGGTTCTTACAGGAATTATCAGCACTGCTTGTAAGAGTGGAGGTATTAAATCCTGGTTACATTTCAGACTTTAATTGTTTGTAAAATCTGTCCTTCATAGAAATCCCCTTTAACGCAGCCAGTGAAGCACTTTCTCACTCTCCCCAAATTGCTGTTTACAGCACTTCTCCACACAGCAATTCAGGAGGAGTGAGAAACTGTTCCTATGGCACTGACAGTGTGTGTCAAACAGGTGCTGCTGTTCTTCAGCGGAGGATGAAGTGGTCTTTTTGTATATGTGAAGGGTCTGGAGATCATCAGTGATGAAAAGCGATATATAAATGCACGATATGATTATTATTTTTATTGCAAACTGGATCTGGCTTGCACCAAATAAAAGGCTTTAGTGCACTATTCTAGTAGTCTGGGAGAGGTGTGGGAGAGACGTGGAGCGACATGTTTTTTGCTTGATGAAAACCAGTTATTCTTTAAACACTAGGCTACACCCCACCCAGTCAGAACATGTCTCAGATTCAGGGCACAGTGTCCAGTCTGACCTGCAGCTATGTACTTCAGGACTAGAGGGGTCGTGTTCGACCTTCAGTTACCTCAGATGTGCTTTTTTGTTTTGTTCAGAATAACACACGCAGACCTTCGGGAGGAGTTGGAGATGTGTGGGGGAATTAACCGGAGAGAAGCTGATGGCAGCCAGAGACAGCACTGAAGGGCTCTGGGAGACGTAAACAAGGCTTAATCATCTCTACTCCTGCTTTTTTTAATCACATTTTTGTGCTGCCCTGCCCTACAGAAGCTAAAGTATTTTGACATGTGCAGCATATTGTCAAAACATGCTGTTTTCACCTCAGAAATATCGCTAGACTTCGCCCTATGTTATCACTTACTGTGGCTGAAAAGCTGATCAACACATTTGTGTTCTCCTGAATTGACTACTGTAATGCTCTACTCGCTGGGGTTTCTAAATCTACATTGAACAAACTGCAGTATGTCCAAAATTCGGCAGCCAGAGTCCTGACCAGGTCTAGTGCAAGTGATCACATTACTCCTATCCTGGAATCCTTGCACTGGCTTCCTGTCAAATTCCGTGTGGACTTCATGCAAAATCCTCATGCTCACCTACAAGGCTCTGCATGGCTTGGCACCTCAGTACCTGTCTGAACTATTATCACCTTCCTCCCCACCTCGCAATTTTCAAATTCTGGTCTCCTAACTGTCCCCCAAGTCCATCTACACTCTATGGGTGACAGGGCCTTCTCCTGTTATGCCCCCAAGCTCTGGAACTCTCTGCCCAAGGATGTGAGAGAGTCACCTTCTCTAAACTCCTTCAAATCCAGACTCAAAACCTGCTTTAGAACAGCCTTTTCTTAACTGGTTCCATTCCTCACCCCTCTGCTCCTACAATTCTTAGTACCACCATCCACGGTCTCCGCTATATATTGTAATTGTGTTTTATCTTGTGTATTGTTTTTATTTATTGTTGTTGTCATTCTGTAAAGCACTTTGAGAAGCCACCTTTAAAGGTGCTATATAAAACAAAGTTTATTATTATTATTATTAAATAACATACTGTAACATATTATAACATAATATTTTGCTTCTCCCTCTTTTGTCTTCTGCCTTGTTTTTGTTCAGCTCTTCCGATAGAGGTTAAGCACTTTAACTCTGGCTCCTGCCACTGGTCTCCCGGTCTGGAGGAACAACAGGATTCGGAAGACATCAGCAGTTACAGTCAGACTAGGAGACAGCTCATCCAAGTATGCTGGGACACACTTTGTGCAAGCATGTACAGGCACTGACTCATAGTTTCAAACCCCACTACCATGGCTCACGTGCACCAATAACACGTCTTCTTTTGTCTCGTTTCCAGTTAGCAGCAAGTGTTCTCTTACCCTGGGGCGGAGAAAGTGGTCAAATCTGTTTTATTCCCGGCTGACTATCTCACATTCCATTTGGCAACCTGCCTCCACTGCTTTCTGCCCTGAAAAGATGGATAAGACAAATTCCTTTACTGGAATGAAATACACTTTAGTAGTAATTTAAGTTTCAAGGAGTAGCAAATTGTATAAAATATAATAGTACATAATTGTATAAATATGTATTACTATTAGTATGACGATGATGATTATTAGTATTAATATTATTATTTCTTCCACTTTTAACACTTATCTCAGTCATGCAACATACTGATGGAGATGTTTGCTCCATGCTGCGTAATTTTCCTGTTACATTCACCCTTAGTTAGTGCCAGTGCTATTTTGTGTATTCTGTTCTGATCTGTGAAGTAGCACAGTTAATACTGCAACTTGCAGTGCTGGGGCGCTGGGTTCAATTCCAGACGTGTGTGGAGTCTGCATGTTCTCCCCCTGTTTGCACTAGGTTTCCTCTGGGTGCTCCGGCTTCCTCCCACAGTCCAAAGACATGCTGCTGGGTTAATGGTAAACTGTTAGGGACAGAAAATCAACAGACAGTAGTCTGCATGGTGTGTTTACATAATGTTCAGATGACATCAGCCATCCTGTGTGGGATTGTAGTTTAATCCTGGAATCTCAGGATGAGCGTTTCACTGGGATGGCTTTTCTGGAGGAGGGCATAGTGGCAAAGTGGATAGCATTGCTGCCTCACAGTTCTAAGGTTCTGGGTTCGGTTCCTGGGGCTCTGTCTGTGGGGAGTTTGCATGTTCTCCCCATGTTTGCGTGGGTGTCCTCCAGGTGCTCCAATTTCCTGCCACAATCCAAAAACTCACTGGTAACTTCATTGGCTCATAGGAAAATTGGCCCTGGTGTGAGTGTGTGCGTGTTTGTGCCTGTGTGTATACCCTGCAATGGACTGGTGTCCCATCCAGGGTGTCTCCTGACTTGTGCCCATTGCTTTTTGGGTATGGCTCCAGTTCCCCAGTGGCCCTGGATTGGATAAGACAGTTAGAAAATGCATGGATATTATGGTCTGTGTTGGTTAGCTCTGCTAAATTTGATCAACATAGCTCCTGAAATGACTTCTCAAAGGTCAATGTGGCAGAGGGATGTCCCTGTAAAGGATATTACTTTACCTCAACTGCCAGGTATGTAGTAGTTGCAGGCTATGCTGGTGATGTTAAATCACAGTTGTTTTGCAATGCTGCACAATGCTCAGTGCATTCTCACTGGCAGCCGGGGCATTGATTTATAATGGCATTGTGAATAGTGGGCCAGAACAGGACCAGAATAATTCAGTGATGCACATTCTTTGTTTTTTTTATAAATGTAAAATTAGTGCCAACAGTAAATGAAGAAGGAAAGCTGATCTTCCAGTTCTCTGTGCCAGTGGGCACCAGTTATTGCTGGGCTGCAAGAATTCACATGGTCCCTCCTGTCGTCTCCCTGTCAGCGTGTTTGTTTTTGGAACAGGTTACTTTTATCCATGTATTTATTGTGATTACTCACTGGGAAATCCTTGGGCATGTTTTCAAGCAGGATGACTCCTGATTATGGAATTTGATGTTGCTCTCCAGTACACAACAAAAAAACAACTCATCCTTCAGTTGCTATTACACACAACTGTCTTACTTAAGTCAAGGTTATTTAGCCTTCCAAGCAACGTCTAAATAGAGATGATGACACATTACAGCGAGAAACTGAATATCAAGAGACACACCCGAAGAAGGCTCTACAGGCTCTACAGCAGAAACGTTGTGTTTCTTTTCTTCTCTTTTCAGAAACCTTTACACGTTCCTGAATATCAAGAGTATTCAGATGAAGTCAAATAATCAATTTTCTTTCAATTTCTATGGATCCATCAATGTCCTCAGATTTTTACTCGTATTTGTTTCACATACCTTTTTGAATGTAATTGTTCAATGTCTCACAGGACTCTTTTAGCTGGTAAGCTGCACTACCCTGAAACGTGGCATAAAATAGGCTCCCCATTCCTTCAGTTTTCCTTTGCCTGGAGAGGGAAGTTTAGAAAGAATGTTGGCTAAACAAATAATTGAAGGCCACTAATTGTGGTGAATCATTCTGAGCACACTCGAGGATGTAAATGAAGAATCTAAAGGGATGAAATAAAATATGCCTTTAAGGCAAGCATGCTGTGTTACAAGGCAATCCATCTACACTGACCATGTTAAATTGAATTAAGCTGTTAGTTGGGTAATTTTCTTGGGCTCATTATAGGAATCATAAAGGAATTCAAAGTAGCCCACAGCATTACTAATAACACTGATGGTTATAATGAGCGATGCATGAAGCATGTCATAGCAATTGTGTTCCCCATGCGGTTTGGTTGTTCAGTTCTGCGATTCCTAGTTCGTTTCTCATTCCTTCATGTTCTTTCAATATTTTCATCACCAGGAAACCTCTGAACTAAGATGCTTCATTTATTTTTTTTCAACCCACAAGATTCAGCTTGTTAAAGCTGCCATTAGCTCCGTGTATTCTCATCTTCATCATCATTGCGTTGTTCCAAGGACTGGTGCTCAGGATTTGTCTCGCAAACACCAGCAGAGCTGGTCAGCCCTTCCTTGCTCACTGGAGGAATTGTTCCTTTGAATTCTGACCAACAGAAATACAGTGGGTGGGCATGAAACGAAGAATAAGAAATAGGGCAAAAGAATTAAACCTGGCAGTTTGCCCTCTTGAGGAAATTGGTTAAACTTTAGACATAAAGACATAGGAAAGGTTGTAAACAAGAGAAGGTCATTCATCCTGTCTCACCTGGTTGGCAGTTTATTAGCTACAGTAAGTGAATCTATAATTTAATGAATGGCTTCTTGAAGGAGTCTGTAATGTGGGCCTCAAGAGAAGTAAGAAGTAAGGGAATAGTGTGTTTGAGACAAGTCAGGCCATCGGATAACTGGCCCCATGTAAGAAGAGGGAAAAAGTCACCGACATGCTTGAGCAATGAGACAAGTTTGGCTAGATATGTTCACTTTATTGGCCATATACAATTTCTTGTATTAGGAATTTGTCTTTTTGCACACCCCAACTTGCTCTCCATGAGACACACAGACAGGGAGAGAAGCTGGGGGTCAGAGCACAGGGTCATCATTTATACGGCGCCCCTGGAGCAGTCTGGGTGAAGGGCCTCGCTCAGGGGCCCAACGGAGTAGGATTCCTCTGCCAGCCGTGGGATACAAACCGGCAACCTCCCAGTCACAGGCACAGATCCTGAGCCACAGAGCTACCGCCCCGCTAATTGTGTCCCGTGTGGAGGATGAAGAACACAGATCTTTTTCTTAATGATGAGCTGCATTACTTTTTTACGACGGTCCCCATTCCCATTCCCAATTTCTTTGTCCTGGGAAGTGAAAGTGGATGCTGGGGATCTTGTATTTGAAGTTGTGCTGGTCTGCCACACTCATGGAAATCACAGCCCCCTTTTCCAGCCTTGCAACATCCATGGCAAATATTTACTGAAGGGTTTGTTTTTTTGCTGCCGCTGTTCTATTGACTCTTAGACTGTAAACAGTGTCTAGGGGAGCCCTCACAGATGACTGTAGAATGAGATCCAAACTTATCAGGTGCAGAGTTCTTCCAGGGCTCTTGACTCGCTCTGCTTTGTAGCTGAGAACAGTGAACCCCAGAATCTCTTGGCTTTACTGACCCAGGCAAGACCATCTGTGGCATGAAATACAAACAGGGATTAGAATAACCCCATAGAAGCGTGTTGCAAATCATGATTGATTGAAAAATCAGGAAAAAACATCATAACCAGCACCAAAACTGAATGATCCCACTGAGGACAGACTTCTGAGGTTTTGCTGTTGTTGTTACATGCACAAAAGGAGAACTGATTCTGGGTGTGTAATACGCGATGTCTGCCACTGAGTAAAAGGGAAGAGATTGGTGAAAGGGAAAATCCTCTTCCACATCTAAACTGGCTTTGATGTGGTTGTCTAGCCACACTGGTTGAGAGTCTTGAAATACGAATAATTCGGAGCAAATTCTCCGCTCTTTCAGAGATCAGATTGCACCCGAGTTCCTTTGCGGCACTTTGTTCTTCCAACCCAGCTGTTATAAGGGAAGATGTTTTTTTACATCTCTACAACTACTCCTCACCCAGCTGATCATTGCTGAAGCCTAGCAAAAAACAGGTCACCTCACCTTAAATGAAGAGCTATCTTCTGACATTTGTGAGGACAGGAGAATGATTTGGGAAATTCTTTAATTCAAAAAAGGCAGGAGCATTGTCAAAAGTTCAACAAAATACAGTATACATCCTGCCAAGAAAATGTCTTTTGAGCTTTGTGGTAGAATGCTTCCCCCTGCTGGATGGCACTGTATTAAACTTTTAGTATGCACTCATTATACTCGGGGACAGATAGGCTTTCTTCTGCCTGTGACATCTAATAATAATTAGGTTATTGTGATATCCTATTTATTGCAACCTGGTGGAGAGAATCAGTAGTTGTCATGGTGTGTTTCCACAATGTTCCGATGACATCAGCCTTCCTGTGTGGGATTGTAGTTTATTCCTGGAACCTCTGCAAGACTTGGGAAGTCTTCTTAGACAGGTGGATGCAGAGTTGGGATGCCCTAAATCTCATTACAGGTTTTGCTTGTGTAGGGGCACCGTATTCATTCAGACAGACAGAAACTGTCTCTCTGTGCTGGACTGAAATTGCAGGTCTCTTCAGGCAAGTTGAGAATGCCCTTCCAGTGACCCAGATTACACTAGAGTACAGTGGGAATCCACAGCTCCTCCTTCGCATGTGTACAGCTGTCATCAGAAATCTCTATACCCGTACAAACAGCTCACCTCAATAAATAACCAGAAAACCCTATTCTTAGTGACGTCGTTTCCCTCATTTTCATAAACAAGCCTTGCTAAAAAGAAGATTTTCCTAAAGTTGTTTTTATATACATTTCTAGAAATGATGCATTTCCATTTTGGTATGTGAACGATACCAACGCTCTATGTTGTTCACCGCTTGGCATGTTTCAGGAACCTGTTTTTTCATGCATTGAGTACTGAAAGAATGTGCCTAAAGAGAATAGGAAGAGGAATGTTTTAGCCATGGGTGCCACAGTGATGCAGTGGTTAATACTGCTTGCAGTGCTGGGGTCCT